TTGTTTTGAGTCAGGAGTCTGCAGCTGTCAAAATGACATATTATCTCTGTCATTCTATGTCGCAAAATATTCGAAAAAAAAATTTTCTTATGAAAATGTTAAGATTATTTTTCTAAGTGTTTTAGTCCAAAAAAAAAAAAATTGCCATCAGTACTTACGAGATATAGAGCTGTGAAGTTTGCAGAAAATGTGAGCCCCGTATGGCAACAGCGGCAACTGCCACTCGCCCAGTAAACTTTAGTTTACTTGTATTAGAAGGTTTTTTCTTTTTTCACTATTTTATTTTTTTTCACAACTTATGTGGCCTATGAGACCAAAGTAAGGTGCAATGTACATATATACACTCGTTGTATACAACACAATAAGCACACAAACATAATTATCAATATGTTTACAAAACTTGTTTACAAAAACAAACAATACAAAAAACTTTTTATTACTATTGTTCTATAATATATATACCAATATAAGTCACAGAACATATTCCTAGAAGTTCTGCAACTTGTGGAACTCTTTGAAACATGGTGTCATACACAATGGTGTTTTACACTCCTCACACATAAAACCAGTGTGTGTGCATTTTTGTGGACTTTTATTTTTATGTGCAAAGACAAAACACCTCATCTGAGCAGTTTTCTTCAAAGTATTAGCAGGCAGTTGTGTTATGTAGTTTTTATTATTTTTATTATCACACTGGCCGATTCCCACCAAGGCAGGGTGGCCCGAAAAAGAAAAACTTTCACCATCATTCACTCCATCACTGTCTTGCCAGAAGGGTGCTTTACACTACAGTTTTTAAACTGCAACATTAACACCCCTCCTTGAGAGTTATGTAGTTATCCTAGGTAAATGGTCGTGTGCCATCATTCCTTCCTTCCTGCTTTCCTGATGACGCAGTCTTGTGGCTCTCCCTGAGACAGAGAGCTAGACCGATAGACAGGGAACTTGACAGTCAGACAAATAGACAGACAAAAATGTTAGTGTACCAGCAGAAACAAATGGAGGGGGATGGTCATCTAATCTTTTCTTATCAGCTGCACCCTCCCTCCACCCTCGTTTATGCTTATCAAACGTCAGCTCTTATCAGATGTTATCTCCCCTTATCTTGTCACTGTCATGGGTGAACTGTTTTTCATGCTTCAAGGCAACATATTATTATTATTACCTATTACTATTATTATTATTACCTATTATTATTATTATTACCTATTATTATTATTATTATTATTATTATTATTATTATTATTATTATTATTATATTATTATCTTGTCACTGTCATGGGTGAAATGTTTTTCATGCTTCAAGGGAACATATTATTACATATTATTATTATTATGTATTCTTCTTTTTCTTCTTCTTCTTCTCTTTCTCCTTCTTCTTCTTCTTTTCCTTCTCCTCCTCCTCCTCCTCCTCCTCCTCCTCCTCCTTGTCTTGTGTGCGAGTGTGTGGCTTATAATTGTTTTGAGTCAGGAGTCGGCAGCTGTCAAAATGATATATTATCTCATTACTCACTTCCCTCCCGCCTGTCAAAACAATGGGGTGGGATGCTGCTTCCCCTCCATTCTATCTAATTATCTTTCTCCCTCATTCTATTTCAATCTGTCTCTCTCCCTCTCTCTGTCTGTCTATCTCTGTCTCACAGGTACACATCAATACAAGTGTACATAGTGTAAATTACCTAGGATAACCCAAAAAATCCAGACAAAGTGCTATACTCTGCTTGAAGATGTGAGTAAATGTGATGATGACAGTCTTGTGGCTCTCTCTGAGACAGAGAGCCAGACAGATAGACAGGGAGCTTGACAGACAGACAAATAGACAGAAATGTTTGTGTACCAGCAAAAACAAAGGGAGGGCAATGGTCATCTAATCTTTCCTAATCAGCTCCACCCTTGTTTACCCTCATCAAATGTCAGCTCTTATCAGATGTTATCTTCCCTTATCTTGTCACTGTTATGGGGTGGACTTTTTTTTTCCTTGCTTCAAGAGAACATATTACTACTACTACTTTACTACTACTACTATACTAGTACTACTACTACTACTAGTACTCTACAGTACTACTACTAGTACTACTACTAGTACTACTACTAGTACTACTACTAGTACTACTACTACTACTACTACTACTACTACTACTACTACTACTACTACTACTACTACTACTACTACTACTACTACTACTACTACTACTACTACTTCTTCTTCTTCTTCCTCTTCCTCCTCCTCCTCCTCTTCCTCCTCCTGCTTCTCTCCTCCTCTTCCTCTTCTCCTCTTCCTCCTCTTCCTCCTCCTCTTCCTCCTCCTCCTCTTCTCCTCCTCCTCTTCTCCTCCTCCTCTTCTCCTCCTCTTCCTCTTCTCCTCTTCCTCCTCTTCCTCTTCCTCCTCTTCCTCTTCCTCCTCTTCCTCTTCCTCCTCTTCCTCTTCCTCCTCCTCCTTTTCTCCTCCTCCTCCTCTTCTCCTCCTCCTCCTCTTCCTCCCCCTCCTCCTCTTCCTCCCCCTCCTCCTCCTCCTCCATTGCTTTTGGTCTCAAACTCCTCGAAATATGAAATTGATCTTCACTGACACTTTCATCTGTGTTAGAGCATCACTTGGGAAGAGAAGAGTCCCAGATTTGCTGGGGAGTCACATATTTCTTACCGCTAGACATGCTGAGAAAGGACAACTGAAATGGCATTCCCACAATGCACCATTGGCTCCCCGATTTTTTTTATATGGTGCACACTGACCATGGAGACCCATTCTCTCACATGTGGGCCTACCAGCTTTCTCCTGCTTGATTTGAAGCTGCTAGAATTTATGTGTATAAATACGTCAGAAACAGTGGTACAACGTATACTGCTTAAACAGTCAAAGGGTTAATGAAGATCTGGTGATGATTGATGGGATGGGAGGAGGGGAGAGTGTGGATGGTGTTAGTGTTTAGAAGGGGAATCCCCTTCCATTAGGACTTGAGTTAAGTCTGAGGACTTGTTTTTCCTGATGCATTGGTTTAGTGATGCCCAATCAAGCTACTTTGCAATCAACCACTACATTAGCACACTCTAACAGAGTAAGCTGCCTTCATAGCTTATGTCTGAGTGCCATTACTCGGTATGTAGGTCCAAAAAAATGAATTTTCTTCCAATCGGCCTTTTCGTCACAATTAAACACTTGTTCAGGTTTCAATCCTTCAGCCTCTATGTACTCCTTGAATTCATGCACATATTTTTCAGCTGCTTCTTGGTTCAAACTGGCAGCCTCACCATGCCTTATCACAACTATGTGTGCCACTACGATTCTTAAATCTCTCAAACCAACCTTTGCTGACCTTAAATCCACTCCCATCACCACTAGTTGCAGGCATTTTTCTAATTAAATCATCATGCAACTTCCTAGCCTTTTCACATATGTTTGCTATCTGGTTTTTCGTTTATCCACACCAATAACAGTCTCTCAACATCTTCTATCACTTGCGATCTCAGTTTCGAAAACGTAGTTGCACCTTTGGCAAAAACAGCTTCCTTGATTGCCGTTTTCTTGGCCACAATAGTAGCGATGGTTGATTGGGGTTTTGTGTACAACCTGGCCAGCTTGGAGACACGCACTCCACTTTCATACTTAGCAATGATCTCTTTCTTCATATCTATAGTAATTCTCACCCTTTTTGCTGTAGGATTGGCACTAGAAGCTTTCTTGGGGCCCATGGTGACTTATTTTGCAGGTGCAATCACTAAAAACGCTGTGATAATATGAAATGTTCCGATTATATGTTTGGATGGGACCGCGGTGGCTGGCTTGCTTGTAAACACTGGTCACAAGTGGACGCGTCTTGGACGGAAAGAATCTCGTTGGTCGAGTTTTTTAGCGCTAGTCGAGGCAAAATTTTTGCGTTAAAATGTATAGCTAGTCGGATTTAATGTTAGATGATGCCAGCGTTGGTCGAGGGTCCACTGTACTCCTTATATCACTTTTACTTTGTAAAAACCTCTCATGCTTACTTTTTCTTTGTTCTCTTTTTATCTCATCATTCCGCCAATCACCTCTGTTGCATCCACCCTCCTATACCCGCAAACTTCTGCTGAACACACTACAAGGCATTCTAAAATCTATCCCGTACCTCTTCAACCTCATCGTCTATTCTCTCACTAGCCCATTTTTTCTACCAATAGTTGTTTATGTCTGACCCTAACTACCTCCTCCTTTAGTTTATAGACCTTTATCTCTCTCTTACTTTCTGATACCATTCTCCATGTACCCCATCTTCCTTTTACTCCCACTGTAGCTACAATTAAAAAAGATCTGATATATCCGTGACCCATCTGTAAACATGCACATATTGAAGTCTACCCATCAACCTTTTATCCACCAATACATAGCCCAACTAACCACTATCACTACTCCCTATATCATGTCTCATATACTCATCCTTTTTTTCTTCCAAACCTCTTTATATACAAAGTTCAATCAAAGGTGCCCCATTATCAATTACCCTTAGCACCTTCAACCTTACCTACCACACCCTCTATAACTCTTTCTCCCACTTTAGCATTCAGGTCCTTTGCCACAATTATTTTCTCACAGTTCAAAAAACTAAACACTCACTCAATATCTCCCAAAATATGTATTTATATATTTTTAACACACTGTTCATCAACCACCAAGGTAGTGACCTAAAATGAATCATCATGAACACATTCACTGTTATTCATTCAATCAGTTTTTCCAGAAGCATTCTGACATCACAGTTCATATGACCCCCAAAGTGCAGCATCTCCCCTCCCCCCCATTCCCCAGAGTGCAGGCACTGTACTTTCCACCTCCAGGACTCAAGTCTAGCTAACTGATTTCCCCCTGAATCTTTTTATAAATGTTACGTTGGTCACACTCCAAGTGCACATCAAATTAAAAAAACCACTTGCCTCCACTCCTGTCTAACAAGCTCACAGTAGAAATTTAATATTAATTTAAGATTTTTTTAATTATTAATTCTAAACTGTATGAATTTGTATTTGTGCAGGTCTGCTGTTAGTGTGGAACCAACTCATGTAGAAATTATTGATGAGTATGGAGGTCTGCACCGCCTTGACCTGAAGGTACTAGCAACAGATGACACTTGGGGTGCGCCATCACTGCTCTCAGCTAGAGTTCATGAGGGCAAAGGTTCTGCAGTCTTCTCACAGGTGAAACAATGATTTAAATACAGATACACCATTGATTTTCAGCAGCCTTGGTTCCAAAGACTTGCTGTAATTTTTATTTTACTGGACCAACAGTAATAATAATTCAATACACCTCTGATTCAATAATTACTATATAGACCTGAGTATTTATAACCCTAGTTTTTGAGGGCAGGCACTACAAAGCAGGCAGGCTAGGGCAGGCATACCACAGCAAGCAGGGCAGGGCAGGTAGGGTAAAACAGAATGGGCAGGGCAGGGCAGTTAGAGCAAGGTAAGGAAGGACAGTCCAGACAGACAAATAAGGGAAGAACAGGCAGGGGAGGCCTTGGCAGGCACAGCTGGCCAGAGCTGGGTATTGTAATGCAGGGCAAGGCTGGCAGGGAGTCCAGGGCAGTGCATACCAAGGCAGGGGAGGTAGGCAGAGCTGGAAGGATGGGATAGGCTAGACCAGGCTAGGTCAAAGTGGAACTACTCACATACATGTTTATCTGATAGAAATTGGTAAAAATAAATATAAACCAAACATTTAATATTTATACTGTGTGGCATCAAGTATGGGTACATGTAGAATGGGCGAGGAAGTTAGCAGACTGGCAACTGTTGTTGTGGTTTATAGGGCAACTGACAGCCTCCTTCCTTGCTGCCCTCCTTGGCCTCCCTCCTTGCTTTCCTCCCTCTCTGCCTATCCCTGTCTGTTTGCCTGCTTCTTCATCCTTGTCTGCCTCCCTCCCTCCCTACTCTTCCCCCAACTTATTCTCTGTCTCCCTCCCCTGCCTGCCTTTCTCTCACCTCGCTCGCCCAATACCACTTCCTCCTTACCTCCTCTTGCTGGCCTTCTTCACTCTCACTCACCCAACACCACCCCCTCCCAATCCCACTCAACACCATCCCTTCCTTCCCACTCACCACCTCTAACATCCTTCACCATCACTCCTTTGAAGAATTTTTATGAGCCTGTCATGTCTCTGGATATTAACCATGGCACAGTAAAACATAATAGTAATGCTAGAGATGCTAAGGATAGGAATATGCATGAGAGTCTGAATGTTTTCAAAAGAAAAACAAGAAAACTATACAGTGATGTTATACTAGTCCATGATTTTATATTAGTTATGCTCATTTTCTCTGGAAACAACAAAAATAATAACTGCATCACACATACCTACTTTAAACCTTACTTAAGTAAGTAAGTTTAACAAGAAAGTTTCTTATTGAGTGCCCTCGGACTTTATAAAAGAGGTGCCTTACCATCCATTGCCAGAAAATCGGTGTTGTACTTGTACTAAATTTAGACCATATGTTGGTTCCACGATTTAAAACCAGCTCATCTTTCATATTTCCTAGCTATTATTTCATTGAGTATTCAGTAAATCTCATCACTCTTTGTTATTTTTTATTTCATTTAGTAATTTCCACTACCTGCAGACTGGCTTGGGTAAAACAGCTTTGATCATTTCAACCATATTTTAATCCTTTGACTGTTGCAACCACATTTCTGAAACTGTCTCCCTCTGTCGCAAAATATTTAAAAAAAATATATTATTTTTTCTGACCAAAATGTTACGATTAATTTGGCGAGTGTTTTAAGCCCCCCCCCCCCCCAAAAAAAAAAAAAAAAAAAATTGCGATCAGTACTTACTGACATATGGAGGCGTAAAGCTGGCAGAAAATGAGCTATGTATGGCAACAGTGGTGAATGCCACTCACCCAGTACATTTATATTTACTCACTTTCGAAGGTTTCTTGTATTTTCTAATTTTTTTTTTTTTTTCCAAATAACTTACGTGGCCTGTGAGACCAAAGTAAAGTGCAATGTACATATATTACAATCATTGTATGCAGCACAATAACTGCACAGACATTATTGTAATTATATTGTTTACAAAACTTGTTTACATAAACCAACAATACAAAAAAGCTTCTAGTGCCAACCCTGTGGTGAGAAATACTATTGAAATACTATCGTACCATGGTCAGCTGCTGCTGCACTGCCGTCAGCTGTTGCTGCACCACTGTCAGCTATACTACTCGAAGATGTGGAGAGAGTGTTGTTGATGTGGCTTAACAAGAAACAATTACCGAGAAACAATTAACCCCAGAGGGTTAGCCACCCAGGATAACTTGAGAAAGTCAGTGAGTCATCGAGGACTGTCTAACTTATTTCCATTGGGGTCATTAACCCCTTCAGGGTCCAAGGCCCAAATCTGAAGTGGTGCCCCAGTGTCCAAGAATTTTCAAAAAAAAAATGTTATTTTTTCTTATGAAATGGTAGAGAATCTTTTTGTGAAGGTAATAAAACAAAAAGTACGAAATTTGATGGAAAATTGACGAAATTATGCTCTCGCGAATTTTGATATGTCAACGATATTTATGAATCGGCGATTTTGCCGACTTTGACTCCCATTTTAGGCCAATTACATTATTCAGGTCAACCAAATTCTTAGCTATTTCACTAGTATTACTTCTATTTTATCGATTGAGCACAAGAAATTCGCCAAGTCAGCTGTTTCAACTACAAATTAAAGTGATCGGAAATTGTTAATTTGGCCAATTTAACACAAAGTTCAAAATATTCCAATTTCAAAATAGGGTCCAGGATAAACAATGTAGGTATTCCTGGAACTAAACTAACATTTCCTCTGTTCATTAGTTACGTTTTGAGGCTTTACAAATAAATTCCATTTTGATTTTTTATTCACATAATGAATTTTTATTCACACCAAAAAATAGAAGATTTACTGTTATGCAATATTGTAATAATTGTATAAATATCATCACCATATTTTTGAATGCATATTATACCCACCAGCTGGTGTGTAGTAGACGTGTGAGTTCGTTTGTTTACTCGTGATTATTGGCAAAAATTTAACATTTCTGCTACTTTGAGCTCAGTTTCAAGAAATTTCCAGTGCTAAAACCAATCAAAATCATCTCTATTTCTGTAATATGTCTTCCATTCTATCAAATAAGACCAAGAAATCACAAATACAACTATAAAAAATATACGAAAAAACATTGCAAAGTCGCTGTTTTAATCGAAAAATCATGATTTCAGTTTTTTTCTCTCATACACAACGTGCTGCAGGATCTGTTTTATGTGGTGCACACATACCACATAGATGTATTCTCTCATATCTAGGCCCAAATGTACCACTCACAGTTTATCAGAGTGAGCTGAGCTCATGACGTAGATCTACGGTTTGGACCCTGAACGTAAAGCCGTAGATCTACGGGACGGACCCTCAAAGGGTTAATCTTGTCCCCCAGGATGCGACCCACACCAGTCGACTAACACTCAGGTGAACAGGAAAAAATGCCTGGAACTAGTGCTCGTATTGGTGAATTTAAGGCCAGAAAAAGGTTAGTTTGAGAGATTTAAGAATCGTAGTGGCATACAGTGTGATAAGGCATGGTGAAGCTGAAAAATTCCAACCCCAACAAGTGTTCAATTGTGACGAAACAGGCCTGTTCTGGAAGAAAATGCCAAACAGAACCTACATTACTCGGGAGGAAATGGTACTCCCAGGACACAAGCCTATGAAAGACAGGCTAACTTTCTTGTATTGTTGTAATGCTAGTGGGGATTGCAAAGTGAAGCCTTTACTCATGTATCACTCTGAAAATCCCAGAATGTTCAAGAAAAACAGTGTCTCATCACTCATCAGTACTATTCAATAAAGGTAAGTGTCATTGTAATATTTATTTATATAGTTATTGTGCATGTCTCATTGTTTTCTTTGAAGGGATATGTATATTTCATGAAAAAAAAAAAAAAAATTAATGCTTTTGGCTGTCTGGAACGGATTAATTTGATTTCCATTATTTCTTATGGGGAAAATTAATTCGGCTAATGATAATTTCGTCTAACGATGAGCTCTCAGGTACTGATTAATATCGTTAGCCGAGGGCCCACAGTATATATACAAATGTACAATCACTGGACACTTTCCTAGAACTGCTGCAGCTTATGGAAGTCTTTGAAACACAGTGTTATGCTCAGTGGTATTTTACACTTCTCACACATAAAACAAATATCTCTGCATTTTTGTGGGTGTTTTGTAGTATGTGCACAGACAAAACACCTCTTCTGAGCACTTTTCATGAAAGTAGTAGGAGGCAGTTGTATGGGGTAGTGATCACCAGGCCTCAGAGGAGAGGGTATGTGTTGATAATTTCCTGGGTGCTGGTCTTTTGCAGGTGTTGTTCCTTGGTACTTGAATATTATTTGTTTGATGACTGGCAAACAAAATTCACCATATTTTGGTTTGTTGTTGGTCTTCAACTTGTGCATGTTATAAGCATTCAGCATGGAAATGTCAAGAAGATGGAAAAAATGTTTTATGTACCACTTATAACTCTTGCGAACACAATCAGCAAACCCAATCTGCATGTCACATTTGTCCACTAAGCACATATTGAGGTTGTAGTCCATCACAGCTGCAGGTTTTAGAATGGGTTCATTGGTCTCTTTTCTGCCTGCCACTGTCTGCCATTTCATTTCAGTGAACTGATGCCAACAATGTGACATCACGTTTGTCATGCCTCTGAAATGCCATGATATCATTGGCAGCAAACACCTGCACTTCACTTGTATGAGTGCCTGCGTTGAACCTAGGCATATGCTTACGATTTCCACGCACTGTGCCACACGTCTGTCATGTTCACTCGCAAGAAATCACTGAGTAGGGAGCTTGTGTACCAGTTATCAGTATTTAATATATGTCCCTTACTTAGATATGGTTCTATCATTGTTCTAACCACATAACCAGAAATACCCAATAACTTCCTGGTATCTCTCAATGTATTACTGCCAGTGTACACAATTATAACAAAAACCAGACCACTTTTGCAATCACACAATACAAATAACTTTATACCAAAGGATTTCTTCTTGCTTGGTATATACTGCTTGAACAACAGTCTGCCTTTGAACAAAATCAAAGACAAGCTTCCTGAAGGGATAAAAATACATACACTATTCTTTTAGGTACATATACACA